ACTCACATCAAAGTGAAGTTACAGCTGATTGGTGAATTTTAAAACACACAGTGTGAAAATAAAATATATCTGATAACAGGCAGCAGAACCGAGGCCTGCAGTCAGCTGTGTGTTATCTTACGTGGCAAGGCAGTTCTCCTCTGCAGCACAGCGCAGGTTGTACATGGGCACTCTCTGGACGTAGGTAGCGAGCTGGATGTAGTATGGATCAGGAACCAGATCAGGGAGTCCTGCAAACAAGACACAGCAGATTTATACTGTTTTCTTCCCTTTTCACTTTCACTCATCAGACATCAGAAAGTAAAACCTTTAAACTAAACTTTAAAAGTGACTCCTTGGCTCAGTATACTACAGAGATACCGTGTAGTTTAACATGTAGGTCTAAGGTGAAAGCCAGCAACATTTAGCTTTAAGATCAGCCCCTTAAGGCATATTATAAATGTCCTTAGGAAAAACTTATAAACTGGTCGTGCCAAATAGTCAAAGCTGAAATAGGCTGTTACAGGATCTTTACACTCAAACACCTGCAGGCATTGTGTACATGGAGGAAGGATGTAGAAACTGCAAATCTACCTTATTTCAAGTCAACATTTAAAGGGATATTGGTTGAGCATGAACACTGAGCCTATAAAAAGCTGCATGTAGACAAAATAACATGAGGTTATGAGCCAACACTTAACACAAGCGATATGAGGTGTTTAAATATATGGTAAGTTCACAGTCTTGTGAAAAAAAAAAACCTTCAGAGCTTTTGTGTAATTTTACTGATTTTAATCATGCCAGCTTGTTTTCTGATGGTTTGTCAGTGACGTCCTAATGAATAAACAAGCTAGTTTTCTTACCATTCTGGTGGTAGCTGGTGCCATAACCGGGTCGGGGTTGAACCCGAGGTCTAGGTCTGTAGTACGAGTTGTAGTAGTTATAGTAAGGGTCATAGTTGGAAGGCTTGTACGGGTTGTAGGGATCATCTCCCACCATCACGTCCTCCCGTCCAACCGCGCCGGAGTCAGGTCGCTGCCGCCGCTGGTGCGTCATGGCGCGTAATTGCGCCGAGCTGCTGGCAGCAGGGACCCTCGGGGAGCCCCGGGCTGTATCGTTAGCACTGCTGAGGACAACCACGGGGTTCCCCTGGCCGGGTGATCCGCTTTGCCTCCTTGCGGAGGGCCTGTACTGAGAGCCACGGCTCAGGATGCTGAAAACCTGCCCGTTATGTTGCCATGTCAACCCCCGACGAAGTGCATCAGCAGCAGGACCTTCCTGGGCGCGAGCTCCATCCAGAAAAGCACAGAGGAAACAAATGTGTGCAAAAGAAATCAGCAAAACGATGGGGGAGAGCTCCTTCATTATTAATAGTAAATCTCTTGAGTTTTTAATGAGAGTTGCTCTTTTTCCAGCCACACAGCTGCTGATTCAAGGACTTCCTCTCAAATGTTTGAGCGCAACTTCTCCTGAGAGAGAGAGAGGGAGAGGGAGGGAGAGAGAGGGAGAGGTGGTTTAAGTTTAAGTATCAGATGTGGCTTCAGACTCTCATTTGGTGTAATTGTAACTTCTTTACTCTCTCTTCAACTCAAAACCTAAAAAAGCATACAGTTGAAACTGAGTTTTGTAGATGTCCAATAAGTTTCCCAGCAGTCTCCAGCTGTGTGCTATCAAATGGGAATTATTTTTACCAAGTTCACAAGTGCACTGTAGAAATTAGAGTTAAAGTCAGTCCCTTCCACTGCAAGTACAATCTCACAAAAGTACCCTGGGGGCCACTTACTGGACCTCACCGTAACTACATGTACCTTTTTGCAAGTTTATGTTTTAAAGTAGCCAAAGTTGCATATTGACACCATGTCTGATAGAGTTTAAGGTGTGATAACAGCTTAGCTAAGTATAAAAAGAAATCAGGTGAAATATGCATTTTTTTTTCTAAAATATTAAGCTTTTACTGTATTTTCTTGTAAGTTGACTGAATGGATTTCATGCATTCTGTCAGGTTTATGTTATGTTTATCTTTCTTTTCTAATTGCAGTATGAGGAAGAATTTAGCACTGACATTTCACAGCAAGAAGGTTTTGGGTTTGACAGTATGAGGCCTCCGTTCTCCCTGTTGTAGCAACTGTTTAGTCTCTCAGTCTAAACACATGCATATTACATTAATTGGTGCTTCTAAAACTGGTCATAAGTGCAGAAATAATAAAGCTTTGAGTGTTTATTAAGGTCAGAGGACTACCATACAATAAATTATTAATAGTTCTTAAGTTTGATGACTTTTTAAAATGTCCAGTTTGGTGCTATTGCATCAAGATGAAAAAATGTTAGTAGAGGTTCACGAACAGTCTATGTAAGGCACAAACTACAAGGGTACAGAGGCAGTACCTTAGAGGTTATGATACCAATGACAAGCCTTTGTGCTGCTGAAAGTACAATACTGCATTTAGAGACTTTATAAAAAAATACAGATGCTCTCTGTCTCTTTCACACACACACAGTGTGAAGTTTATTGTCTCGGTTTACATGTTTGAAAGAGGCTCCTGATCTTTACACTAAACATGTGGAAGGCTCGACCAGCAGTTTCACACATTGTCCTATTTGTTTTCATAGAGGCTTTTTCTCCAGGCCTCACAGTTATAGTTCATATCCCAGCCAAACCCAAACTGCAGATGCAGCTCAGGAGCACCAGATACCATGAAACTGCAGCTTTACCCAAATGTAGCAAATGGAAAATATCATCAGGGGAGATTTGTGATTTAAAATGGATCATGACAGCAATGCATGAAAACCTTTAAATTCCAGATTTCAATGCTGTGGATGGATTTCTCCATGAAGTGTGGTAAAGTAATTTTGACTGTGATTCAGAAAGTTTGATGTTTATGCACAAGAAAACAAGAAAGCAAACCGCTGCATGTCAGGAGGAGTTGGTTTGAGACATTTCGAAACTAAAATCTTATCAAGCTTTACTAGAAAAGACGGCACCAAAAACAGCTCCTTCTTTTTCACTTTTAAATTCCAGGCTATTGTCTCCTCTTCACAGGATGAGGCGTAATTAGGGTGATGCTTTGACTTCATAGCAGTCCTGTCTCAGTCGAATTATGTCTGTGGCCAGAGCTGCTCAACTTTACTCAGAGACCTAAAGATACTGATTTCTGACTCACTATTGCTTTAGCGTGTCCACCCTTCATTTAAAAAGAAGAAAAAAGACCTATCAGGGTAAAAAAGGAGTCCAGTATGCTCCAGTTTTCCAATTATTCGTGGCCCAAAACTAGAGGCTTATATTTTGTGGGTATTTATGGTATTAAAAATACATATATCATATTTTTTTTAACATATTTTTAATCATAATAGGGTGTGCTCAAGTGACTCGACACCTACAGGTTTTGTCTGGCTTTATTGGAAAATAATAAGCTCCTCTCATGCTGAGTGCTCAGGATGCTTTAAAAAAAAGCTGAAATTGAAGCACTTACCAACTGAGAAGTTTCCTCCTCTGAGCGCACAGTAAAACACAACCTGCCACCCACAGAGACACAGCTCCTTCCCTTTAAACCAATCCAGATAAATCACTTCAAATGCTTTAGGTTACACTATACATTTTCTATTTAACATGTCAGTGAGTTAAGTTTCCAGCCGGAGATAGCGTCTTTCACGGTAACACCAGGAGAACCTAACCTGTATCCTTACCTTGGTCCTTGTATATTTTCTCTAATGAGATGGTAAAAAATCTGCTTGCTCTTGTCTGAGACCTTGAAAATGTTGTTTACAGTTTGTTGTCCTTGTTTTCATGTCGCTTAATGTGCAAAGTACTTATTTTGGTGTCCACAGTTTGATAATGAACCTGTTCATTGTTCCCTGGAGGAACAGTGGAGCATCTGCAAATGATCAGCTGCTTCATCTACTGTAATGACAGGAGTCTCACCAGCTCTGCAGTCATTGTTTGGAAGAAGCTCAGAGAAGGAAAATAGATTTTAATTATGTTGGTACCCAGAAACTGTCTCAAGACTAATCAGCAGTGTTGGTCAAGTTACTTGAAAAAAGTAATCAGTAACTAATTACTGATTACTTCCCCCAAAAAGTAATCCCGTTACTTTACTGATTACTTATTTTCAAAAGTAATTAATTACTTAGTTACTTAGTTACTTTTTAAAAACACGATTTACACCCTGAATAGGTGATAAAGCGATAGATCTTTCAGCCCAATTCTACTTTTTCTACATAATCATCATACAAAATGTAATCAAATGGAAAAGTCCCTTTTTAAAACTTGTTTTATTAGTTTTAATCTTTTAACTTTATGCATCAAGCAAAAATTTAATTATATGCAACATTTACTGACTGGAAGAAATTAGTTTAATATTTAAACCTATTTTCTGCATATTCCAGCACATAAAATATATGTGCGTTACGCGTTACTGCCCATCTCTGGTAATCAGTGCTCAAAATGTTAAGTATATTTCTCTCTCAGTTCCTAATTTATTCCTTTTAACTGATTAATTCCTGTTAATACTGATACCTGAAACTGGCACTGAAATTGTCCAATCAACATGTTTGTTTGTTTGTGAAGAAAACCCTGTTCAGCAATGTTAATTCAGGGCTTCAGATGGTAAAGCTTGGGGATTTGCCATATGCATTTAAACGAATAAGCAATGAAATGATGATCTATTTATAAAGAAATAAATGGGGGAAAGACACAAAGAACTGAACTGAACATTGAGTGCAATCCTTATGTAATGTGTGACACACTCATGGTAGAAGAAGTGGGGTAAAGTAAAGAGAAAAACATCTAAACAAGCTCATTATCAAGCACTATGAATTTCACACTGTTGATGGGGTTGATGGGGTTGATCTACTTTCTACAAAGGTTTGCTCCAAGCCCCGCCCATATTACAAGGCAGGTACTTTTTGCTCATTACCTCAGGACATGTATAAAGTTGCAGGCAGCACAAATGCAGCACTCCAAGCTTGTGCAACTAAAATCAACCCATTCAGCTCTTGCGGTTGCCACTTTTTTTTCTTTCTGGCTTCAAATATCAGACACAGTAGACTAGAAGGTGAAAACATAACTGTATAACTACCTGCTGCCTGTAGGTTCTTTAACTTCTCAATGAAATGCTTCATGGCCTTGCAGCAGCCTGCTTGTCTGACTTGCTTCCTCCAGGACTTGGAGCGGTTGTAGACTTTGTTTGATTTATCTGTGGTTTGTAACAGAAATACTGCTGTTATATTGTTGTAATTATGCATTTTTGACTACATGTGAAATGTGTTCTTGTCTTGTCTGCTGCAGAGTTTATCTGCACAGGAAAACAAATATTTCTCTAAGAAGTCATCAATCTACACCAGATATGCATGAAAATCATACTGATTCCTTTTGTCTTAAAGTCAAAGAAGCACACCAGGTTGAGTTGGGGGGTTGTGTTGGAGCAGAAATGCTTTTGCATGGTGTTTTGGTGAGTAGCTGCAGGTAGCCGCTTCAGCCACAAACACGTGTACAAATTTTAACTGATTCCTTCACTGCTAAAGGAAAAAGTGAACTGCCTGAACAAGAGCCGCTTTTTACAACACTTGTGTGAAGATCAAAGGAGGGCGGATTTTATCACAGCTCACTGCACTTCCCTTTCAGCAATACAAGGCTGTTCCCAATGAGAAGCAGGTGTCGGCCTGATCTGAGCACTTTAAACAGCTTCATAATGAGGGCTGGCTACCTGGAGGGTGCCTACTGCACACGGGACACGTAACAACCCATGTAAACCAGGCACAATAGCAGTACCTTCATCATTACAAACATCATCATCACCTTTGGTATGTGTAGAAAACAGTGGATGAAACAAGAGATCGGTAACAAAGCCACGAAATTGAAAATAACAACAACATATGAATGATTGTGTTGTCATTCATATGTTATATGACATATCACACCTGCATTCAACAACTTAGACATGTGAGGCACGTGACAGCACTTCATTCTAACCATGTGTTAAACTACAGTAGAGGGTCTCAAATGTCTTTTGGCACCCACTTCAGAAGTAAGGTC